AGAATGCTCCTTCTGACCAATTATCTAAGGATCCATTGACAATTTGACTAAATCCAAATATGGTCTCATCTAAGGAGACATAAGTACCTTGAATTGGACGGGTCGGCCAACAAGTTGGCCTCCAGAACAAATCCAAATTAATAGTTCGATATTGTACCTTTTAAATAGAATGCTCCTTCTGACCAATTATCTAAGGATCCATTGACAATTTGACTAAATCCAAATATGGTCTCATCTAAGGAGACATAAGTACCTTGAATTCTTGTAAATATCTCTGCTACAAAGAATGGTTGTGATAGGAATCGCTCAATCTTTCTTGCTCTGTTAACTATAAGTCTATCTTGATTAGATAATTCTTCTAACCCTAGAATTGCAATTACATCTTGCAATTCTTTATATCTCTGTAAGATTTGTTTTACTGAAGTAGCTATATTGAAATGCTCTTGTGAGATGTGCGGAAAGCATTTTAGATGTGGAATTAAATGGATCCACTGCAGGGTATATAGCTTTAGCAGCTAAAGCTCGAGAGAGTACTGTTATTGCATCCAAGTGGCCAAATGATCCACTGCAGGGTATATAGCTTTAGCAGCTAAAGCTCGAGAGAGTACTGTTATTGCATCCAAGTGGCCAAATATAATAGCAGGTGCAGGATCTGTTAAATCATCTGCTGGTATAAAGATAGCTTGAATAGATGTTATTGACCCTAGCTTAGTGGCAACTATTCTTTCTTGAATAGAGCCCATTTCTGTAGCTAGAGTTGCTTGATAACCAACTGCTGATGGCATTCTTCCTAGGAGTGTACTTACTTCTGAACCAGCTTGTAGGAATCTGAAAACATTATCAATAAAGATAAGTACATCTTGATCTGAACCATCTCTAAAATATTCAGCCATTGTTAGTGAAGCATGGGTTACCCTCATTCTTGCACCAGGTGTTTCATTCATTTGACCAAAGACTAATACCACTAGGGAATTGGTGTTGATAGAGTGTACTTGTGTACTTGTGTAGAAAATATTATTGCTCTTAAATGATGACAAATCTGTACGAGATATAATACTTGAATCCTGCATTTCATAATATAAATCATTTCCTTCACGAGTTCTTTCACCAACACCTGCAAATAAAGAAAGACCTCCATGCTCTATTGCTAGATTTCTGATGAGCTCCATTATAACTACTGTTTTACCAACTCCTGCACCTCCAAAGAAGTCAATTTTACCACCTTGCACATAAGGAGTTAGTAAATCAACAACCTTTATACCTGTTTCAAATAATCTTAGATTAGTGCTAAGTCTTATTAGCTTGTTTGGTGTTTTGTGGATTGGTTTTATTTGTGAGAATTGTGTATCTGCTTGCTGCAAGTCTTGCTGCAAGTATGCATCTAAGTGGACTTTATCTCCTAAGATTATTATAAATAAAGCAGCTAAATAAAAGATGTGCTGACTTATCTTGTTCACAATGACTAGCTCTATACGTCTGTTCCAAGAATTAAGACAGAAGTTAGTATTTAAGAGAAGATTTGAGAGAAATAAAGCTTCATTAGTGTAAAGTTGAGATTCTACGAGGTCTCCTATTGTGGCTTCATTTGTATTGTTAAATTGACAAGAATGGGAAAGTTGTGAATCTGGGTCAATTATAGAGCCAACAACATTTAAAATACGACCAAGAGCTATTCTACCAACTGGGACTATAATGGCTTGTAATGAGAATGAAGAAAAGCATCTCCAAGTGCTAAGACATTGTGTAGAAGCAAAAGCTATTGTTCTTAATAGAGCTTTATAGTGAACTTGGCTTATTTCTAGAGTTGGGATACTAGCATAAGATTTGATGAGTAGAAAGAGTGAAGCCATCTCGAGATCATAAAAAACATCAGCTACTTCTTGATTGGAGTAGTTGGAGTTTAATAAAGAGTCTAATCTTTCTGTATAGTCTGCAGGTATAAGATGCATGATAGCAAATAACTCCCCATCATTAAAAGCTAGTTCGATAAGGTACTGTGTAAAATTTACTGCATAGTTTCTTATAAGTCGTCCATCTCTAAAATCACATGTGGCTCTATTAAGTAATAAAGCATCATATACACTTGGCAAGAATACATCTTTATAGCCACTTAAATGAGATCGCATTTGTGTTATCATATACCTCTCTGTGTAAAATAGATCAGACTTAATTTGAACATCAACAATAGGGCCAACACATGAACATAGACAAGCATGATTGAACAACTTATATTTTCCGGCCCCTTTTTCTTGGAGATAAGCTTAAAAATGACCTGTGCGATGACTTTTTTGCACGTTCTCCCTCAATTTTGACTATTTTACCACCTAAAATGGTGGTAAAATAGATGTTTAGGTGGTAAAATGAATGTCGGCCGGCCCCTTTTAATTATTTCACGAGGTTGGAAATGCAGGAAATCCACCT